GGTGTTGTACACATAGCTCAGACGTCTCCTAAGAGGAAGGGCTCTGGCCTGACACATCCCCAAACACCCACTCCCCTGGAATCCAATGGACTCATAGCGATCCTGTATAGGGATTCGGAGGAGCGGCTGGCGGATTTGAACTGCCAACCTCGTGATTAGGTACTCAGTGCTTATCTTACAGCAACACCACGGCAGAACTACGATAAAGACCACACACAGAAATCCACGCATTGTGTGCCCGGACAGGGATGGAACCCCACCAGCGGATAGGGTGAGGCTCGGACACCGTTCCTCTCCATTGAGGCGGAGCGGAGTTTCGTCTACCTTCCCCAACCACGCCCCAGGGCGGAACCAAGAAAAAGAGCTCCTTGCGGCGACCCGGAACCGGAGCGAGTAAGCAAACGTCAAGGAAACCGAAGAAGAGAGAGGAAACGACGCTTAATAAGAGAGGCGGGGCGTCACGACGCGCAAGGGAGGGCGGGAGAGACGTGCAGTGCGAGAACGCACAACAGGAGGCGAAGAGAGCAAGAGGCGGGGCGAGACGCTGGTGGGTGGGCCTAGAGGGCGCGGGAGGGTAAGCGAGAGTGAAGTGTGACGCTAAACGCGGGAGGGCGGGGCGGGAAGACGAGAGGAGGAAGAAGGGGGTCGGAGGTGGGCGGGGCGTAGCGCGAGGGCGCGCGCAAGCGAGGTGGCGCGCACGCGCGACCCTGCGTTGGGGATCGGCGGCGCGCTGGCCGAAGGGGAGTTGGGCAATGCAGCGACGGCCCGCTGGGGCAGGGCGCGATGGTTGAGGGCGGCCGCACCCTTGGACCTCACGTACTCCTCCCAGCACGCAGCCTGCCTCACCGTGGCCTTGGCCGTGAGCACCAGCGCCTCCTGGTTAATGCTGGACACCTCGGGGGAGCTCTTCATGATGACCCGGATGCGGGACAGGGGCAACGACACTAGTCGCTGCTCCCCGCCCTTCTCTTTGCCGACGACCACGTCCGCCATCTCGCCACCCCCTGCCCCGCGAGGCGGCCGGCAAACAAAGTTGCTGCTGGGCTTCGGAACCCCGCTGCCCCATGGGAGTTGTAGTGTTCGGAGGCGCGCCCGCCAGAGGGGCGGGGACTACCAGTCCCGTGAGGGCTTGCGCCTGCGCAGTTCTGCGCCTGCGCGTTCACTCATTTATCATTGATGTGCGACGACGTCGCTCGCGTTAGTGATGAAACCCTTGTCGCCGCGCCCCCCCCACCCCCCATATAAAACCTTAATTCCCTGACTTCGGCTTTTTAGCCTGCGAGCGAGCGAGCTAGCACGTGTAGGCCATCTGCTGGGCTCTGTTGAGCGCCCGGCAAATGCACGGTCAGCTCAACCAGTAGTCAGACGCTGACCTCTCGGGGTGCGGGGGCCAGGAGCGTAGAAAGCAGGCCGGGGTGCTGCAAAGGACGAGGCGGCTGAGTGAGAAGACTACTCCTCGGGTACCTCGTCTATGCTGAGTGTGCAAGTTCAACAGGGAACAGCAAGTCACACTTTCCTGAAGAGTGGAAGGCAAAGATTTCTTAAGTTTAAAAATTAACGAACTGTATAATAAATATGCAATATACTGTTAAGTGTAGTGGGCGCCTTTCCCAATTTATAACGACCCCTGTATATGGTTTCCGACAAGTGGCTGCTGTGTCCGAACCGCAACATTGCGGTTATCAGTCCAGTGCTTATCCTACAGCGCCACACCAAGACTCCATGTGCTGTCTGGTGGTTGTAAGCACAGAAGACTACAGCTAGGAGCTCTGGGAGCGTAGTGGTTACGAATCGGGCTGTGGGCTGCAAGGTCAGCAGTTCGAAACTACTAGCTGTTCCGCAGGAGAAAGATGAGGCTTTCTGCTCCCGTAAAGATTTACAGCCTCGGAAACCCTGTACAGGGTCGCTATGAGTCAGAACCGATTCCACGGCACATAACAACAGCAATGTAGCAAAGTACAGAGCAATGGAGGAGGACTTTTCAAATTGGATGGCAGGAAGGCTGGGTGGGGCCTGAGAACTGGCGAGGGTCCCTCTGAGTAACCTGGGGGAGAGCACTGTGGTGGCAACAGAGACCAGGCAGGTAGCCCAGATTAGGGGTGTCTTGTGGCTAAAGTGATGGTAGCACAGCCGGGTGCCGCATCAGGTCGCCCGTGTAGACCGCGCAGTTCTCAAAGACTTGTGGGGCTTGTGGAAGGCGATGAGCAGAGTTTGATGGGCCGCCTAGTTTTACAAGGCTCACCTGAATTTCTGTGCATGGACTAGACGAGGTGGTGGTTCTATGTTACTGCCTTTGAGTTGGTTCCGATTCATAGCGATCTTGTATAGGGTTTCTGAGGAGTGGCTGGTGAGTTTGAATCACCTGACCTTGCATTTGAAACCAACCTTACAGTCTAGTGCCTATCCTACAGCACCACGCCAGGACTCCGGAATTGACTGTTAAGTGCCTTCAAGTAGGTTCCGACTCAGAGTGACCCTGTACAGAATTTCCAAGGAGCGGCTAGTGAGCTTGAACCGCCAACTTTGTCATTCAAACCTACATCGCAGTCCAGAACATTAACCCTTACCATTGCACCATCTTGGAGGCCAAGGTGGCCAGACTTTGTCTCTCATACTTTGGACATATTGTCAGGAGCGATCAGTCACTGGAGAAGGATATCGTGTTTGGTAAGGTGGAGGGTCAGAAAAAGAGGAAGACCCCCAGGGAGATGGGTTGGGCAAGTGGCAGCATGAATGGACTCAAGCATGGCAACAGTAGTGAGGTTGGCCCAGGGTTGGGCAGCGTTTCGTTCTGCCGTGCATATGGTCGTTGTGGGTCGGTACCGACTTGATGGCACCTAACAAAATAAAAATTGTACCAGGACTCTAGAATAGTCTATATGGGGCCAGAAATGGAAGGCACTCGAGGGCACGGCGGTAGTTACTGGGGCCGGGCGAGCTGAAGCAGGTTAGAACTGGTGGAGGGTGGCAGGACTTGAGCCTACAGGTTATGTAAGAAGCTAGGTGGTGCGGTTGGCTGATGGGGAAAGCCCTGCAGGTGGAGCGCCTTCAGCAGGGCTTGTGGTTTGGATCAAGATGAATTTCCTTTGTCAAACACTCAGATGCAAAGGAGAGCAGATAGTTGCATCTTCAGCTTTGAGTTCAAGCCAGAGAAGTGGGTGTAGGGGCTCTAATTAGCTGCTGTTTGGGATGCTATAGGATAAGCACTGGAGTACTCCAACATTTTGAGATTTGATAGAGAAGGAAAAACTGCAAAAGAGGCTGGGAAAAGTGACCACTGAATACAAAGAGATGGTGATGTCCTTAAAGCCAAGGGAAGAAAGGGTCCCTGAAAGTGAATATCTGAAGAGCTGTGTAAGTGCTGCTGAGGATTGAGGACACTGGACAACTGCTAACCCCTCCTCTCTCCCCTCCCCCCCAAAAAAAACATGTTTCAACTTGGCGGGGCCAGGATTCTCAGTATTATGACGTTATCCTTCCATTTGTGGTCTGATGAATTACCCTTTGTGTTGTAAATCCGCACGTCTATGTTCATGAGGCAGGAAGCCTTCTACAGGACTCCAGATTGTATTTTGAGTCCATCTCTTTGGAGATACAAAAGAGTTTAAACAAGTGAGCAGAGTTCAGATGGACCTGCTATCACTAAGAAATAGGAACCAGGAGTGGAGCATGTCCTTTGTACCTGGGGACCTTCCCCCAGAGCCAACAAGGAAAGCCTATCTTACAACTAAGGAGCCCTGGTAGATTGGTGGTTACGAATCAGGCTGGTAACCTCAAAGTCAGCAGTACAAAACTACCAGCCGTTCCGCAGGAGCAAGACAAGGCTTTGTGCTCTTGTAAAGATTTACAGCCTTGGAAACCCTATACAGGGTCACTGTGAGTCAAAATTGACTCCACAGCACACCGCCACCACCATCTAAACCCCCTAAACAGATCATGAATTCCTGGGTATTAGAACTGTCCCTGTTGGTGTTAGTGTCTGGCAGCTCTAGAGAGCTAAGAGCAGTCAAGACCAGATCCTCCATGCTCATCCGTCCATGCTCCCTTCTCCATCTGTGTCCCCAGATTCTAGGGCCATTAGCTGCCTTTCCCAGAATCCCTTGCCAGTGGCTTATGGTTGGGTTCTGCCAATGGGAGGCACTGGTGAAAGATTTGTGGGCCAGGGGTTGGGTGGTCGGAGGGGGAAGAAGAAACATTGTCATTTATTTTTCTGAAGGATTTGTGACGGCAGGGGACTTCTGGGGGCACACCACCGGTATAGGTAGGGGATTTAGCAGCCTTTGGGTTTCTGCTTAGTAGTGGCGACACCTGCAGAATTTCAGTGGCAATGTGGATTCTCAGAAGCAGCACCTACTCCCTGACCTCTGGGTAGCATATCCTGCTCCATCTCACTCTAAAGCACTTCCCCTTGACCCTTCAGCATTTCCAACATCCTTTTAACTAATTGTTAGCATGAACACTCTCACCACAGTGTCTGGAGAAGTGTCTGCTTTTCCAATGAGATGCTGTAATGAGTGAACTTGGTCCTGGTAGTGGTCCCATGAAAATAGGAATCAGGGAACTGATTGAGCTGGTCCCTACAGGCCACCTCCCTGACAGCATCCCTGCCATTGCTTGGAACGGAGTATCCAGTGAAGACAAGTCTGTGCATGGAACCGTCAAGGTGGGAAGGACACAGGAAGACTTGGATGCCTGGCTGCTTCTCATTGCATTGCAGAGATCCCTGAAAGAAAATGAAAAGCTCATGGCTTTAAAATCTCAGGTGAAACATGATCAGAGAACGAGCTCTTGGACAATTGTTGTTGTTGTTGTTGTTGAGTGCTGTCAAGTTGATTCTGACCCCTAGTGACCCTATATAGGGTTTCCGAGGAGCGGCTGGTGAGCTTGAACCACTGACCTTAACAGTTCAAACGACTTTGCAGTCTGACACTTTAGCCTACAGCACCACACCAAAACTATTCTTATTGTTA